TAGATTGTGATCGTAGATTAGAACATATAAACAAACAGTATTTTTTTAAATAATTATCATTGTTTAAATCACTTGACTCAGTGAGGTAACTATCAGACTCGGTCGAAATTGCAAAGTAATGAGCATTTAGGTGGAAACGAGCTTTAAATATCAATCGTGAAGTTACGCCGTCTCAGCTCAACAGCAGCCAATCAAAACAGGTTGTTATAAATGGGCAAGCTTTTATTCGGTGATTCCGCGATGGTGTAATGAATATCGCGTTCAAGCAGCTGATGTTAAATATTAAAGCAACATTGAAACAATAATGTAATGGTAGTCACTCTCTGAAGGATGTGGTGGTCCTGAATGGGTCCAGGCCCGTAGCCAGCACTTTTGAATAGGGGGTTCAAAAACAACAATAAATGATATATTTGATGTGAAACGTGTGAATTTTATAATATTCAAAAAGTGCGTTTGAGCTCTGTTACATACATTTTTATATTCTCGGTTTGAAATTCAATTGGTTTACTTTGTGTTACGTTGGTAAGTTATTCCACATAACATTTTTGAACTATTTTACCATTTTAGAGAAGGGGTCCTAGGCCATTCCCCACCCACAGACAAACACACCACACCCTTGATCCATTACGGCAAAATGTTGTACACAAAAAAGACAAGACTGTACGTATCTTAGCATTATGTCTAAGAATGCTATCATGAGCTTTTTCGCTCTTCACAGATGTTAACGCACATATAAAGTGACACAATTTCATGTCGAAATCTGTCTACAATTATTCATTTTAGTATTAGTCAATTATGTAATTTTATTTCTGTATAAGGCCTCACCACAACGTACTAAATGTAATTGGTAGAAATGTGCATATCACGTTTTAAAAACAATACAACATCCATGTAAACATATGGTACTAAGTTAAGCTGGATTCATATTTATCTCGTCGCTTGAAAACTTTTAAAAGATACAGAGCTAGTTGATATATGGTGTCGCAGTTTATGTAGCGACGAAGTAAGCCCAGACTGTCAGTATAGCATAATTGCATAAAATTATTGACAAAAGATCAGCCCTTAGATCATTATAAAATGAACATATACATGCTAAATTCAAACGTATCACTGCAAAAACTACAAATTTATTGATCTAAATGTATTTTTGTGTGTCTGCTTAATTCAACATTATGTTCATGGCCAAAACAGCGAAAACTCGTCAGTTTATATTTTAGTCTATAATTGCTTGCCAATAAATCTCCCAGGTTATAATACTACATTGATTTTTCCGAAAGTACACAGCCTGGATGATTGTGAAATTGAGGCATGCCATTCTTGCTGACAACATTTTTTTTATTTTTTAAGTAAATATCCCTAAGAAATTTGCAGTATCTGCAACTTGTTTTCCAAACCAGGCAATGCCGAAACCATATTTGAACAGGGGATTTTTACGTGGGTTTCCCAAGTAAGTCTGCCAGTCTTGTCTAATCGTTTAAGCATGATATAACATGTTTTTGGGTTCCAGCTATTTTTTATTTAATTCACAAATATAAGATATAAGATACAACGCTTGAAATAACCACAGCATAATGGCAGCCTTCCACATTCGTCCAACATCGCTACATTTTTTGTACAACTATTAATGCTAAGTAGATACCTGCAAAATGTTGTCTGTACCCTCTCGATTTCCGAATTTTGGCACCCCCATATCGCTACCATAAGAAATAGCTGGCACAATGATTGCATCAAACAAATTAAATGCACTAACCAATGGCATACTACCAAGTTTCTGCAGTACGTAAATTTGTTGGTTTACTGTAAATCTGTTTTAAGAGGGCGGTAAATAATATGCATATAGTAGCAGTTTAGGAGCGGCTCAATAA